CAATATATTTTAATTTATATTTACAATTAATATAAATATCTTAAATAAAAAAAAATTAATTTCTAGTATACTAAAATATATACATATAATATAGGGTTGTAATAATAATTATAAAATAATATCAGAGATGGCGGCATTCACATAACGTAATAAAAATTCATTTTAACAAGGGGGAATACAAAATATTAAATACATTTTACGATTATAGTCAGAAAATTAGATACCTATAGTATATACGCAATACATGTATATCTATATAAAATATGTTTATACATTAATTTTAAATCTTCTCCCCATTTGAAAATTTTATATATTTTTATATATACGTAATATGTGTTTTGTATACATAGGTATACATCCAAGTATAATATCCATTAAATTCGGTGCAATGCTGATGATATTAAAATGTTATATTCAAAACTATATGAATATTTAGATATTAGAGAAGAATATAGAATAATTCACATTATAATTATGCATAATACATACATTACATAATAAATATGTATATTTTTTTTTACAAACATATTAAGGAACGGTGGTCATAGATAAATGTTTAAATTATACAATTTGTCTGCATTTATAATATGATTTGATTTTAAGCGTTGATAACCCAATACTAAAGTATGTGATGCACAAATAATTTTTGTTTTCATTTAAATATGTGAGGTGAAAATTTTTATTGCATATTATATTGGTTATATACGTATACAATGTGTATTGTGCAGTGGCGGATCTATCATATATGTAATGTAAGCATTTGCAATGAACGCCAAAAATCTGAGGCACCATTGAAAACAAAATAAAGAAATAATGAATTTTTTACAAAACATTGTAAAACAAAAAGATGACTGTTTAATTTCAAACTTGATTTGTCATAATTCTATGACAAATCTTGCACATTCAGCATGATAAAGTTACAAGAAAGTGATTTATTATATTATTCTTAGATTTGAAAGCGGGCCGGGAGGAATCGCACTTGGAATTGCGTAGGACGCCGAACAAGCCAGAACCGGATCTGTGTATACGTACACACATGATGATGTTGTGTGTACATACACATAATACGGTAAATACAAATAGTATGCTTTTTTAAGCTCAATATAAAATTCAAATTACAATATTTTTTGTTAAATACACATTTTTATTTTACTAAGTATTAATTTTTGTGTTATTCAAATATTCTACCATTTCAGATTACATACATATACAAAACACATACATTCATATATAAAATATTTTGTGTCAGATAAACGGAAAATTTATATATAAAAGAAAAAAAAAAATCAAAAATAAAATTAACATCATTATTTTAATGGTTATGGTTGCATAATTCCGGAAAATTTTGCAAATATGAAGATTTTAAATAATTTCATATTTGATAAGAATTTTTTTTTTTTTGTTTTTGATTAGCGCAAAATATTGAAAATTTGTTTAATACCATCAATTTTATAAATAACTACGTAGAGGTTAATTTGAATGGTTTTGTATATATAATGTTATAAGTAATTAAATATACTTACCGTGTATTTTTTGAACATGTACACACATTTGTTTCCTTGACTAAAATGATATTCTAGTCTATTCTGGTTTAACTACAATTATTAAATAAGCTTGATTCAAAAAACAAATATCAGTTTATAATACCAAAAATCAATTTTTAAAAATTTGTGTTAACCAGTAAAGGGTTAAGAACAAATATCAATTATGCACATACATTAATTATTTTTACTTAAGAATACTATTTTCGATATTTAATAGTCATTAACTCTTTTTATAGGAATTTACTCACAAATATTATTTCAATATAGAAATTTTGGCTTTTATGTTTTAATTGCTTAGATTCGTATATTATATAAATTATAATATACGGTTATATTATAAATGGTTAAGTAAAAAACACCCCTTTTCGTAAATTTTTTTTTTCTACTTCAATCCAAGAAGTCAAAATAATGTCAAAAAATATGGTACCTTGTATAATTTGTAATCAATGCAATATTAAAAAAAAAATTTAAAAAATTAATTAGGGACTCAAGCGATGGTGAGTGAAAAAAAACGCACCTGCTCGGGTTTCGACAATGAAGACTTCCAAAGCTATTTAGTCGATACGAAGAATATATGGTCTTGCACAACCATGCAAAAATAATAGTAGCAAAAGATAATCGGTTTGTCGTAACCACAGTCAGTAAAATCAATGATCGAAAGTAGCTATAGATCTAGCGTCACTAGGGCGAAAAATTACGATGCTATGGATAAACTTGAGCAAATCCTATAATCAGGAGTAACATAGGGCTGCTGGTGCATGATATCGTGAGATACTTTTGTCCGGCAGTTTCGTGCGTCATTCGGTTTTCAATTGCGTAGGTAAGTGACTAGGATACTGTAAACTCATAAATTATCTGCATATAAAAATTTAACAAATTTTCAAAATTGAAATAAAAAATGGTCTTTTTTTTTATCAATTAATTAATTTTTTTTTATTTATTTTATATATATATATATATATATATTTATATATCTATATATTTTTTTTTTGTTTTTCTTATATACGATTTTGTTTTAATTTTCTTTTTTTTTTCAAATTTTTGTTTTTTTTTTTTTATTTAAATACATTATAATATAATAATTACTAAATTTTAATTTATATATGTATATAAGTAAGTGTTTATATCTATTTCTTAATTTACGTAATAATCAGCTAATTAATTAACTAAAACTATATTCTAAATATTTCTATATATATATATTTTTGTAATTATATTTTGTTTTCTTTTGTTGTTGTTGCTGTTAATTATTTTTTTTTTACATTATAATTATTTTATTCTACATAGTACATAATATGCAATATAATAGGGCTAATAAATTCACACTTAAAAATTATTAATAATTTTAATTTTTTTTAATATAATTTATTTGTAATTACGTAAAGTTAAAAATAATAAAGAAAAAAATTATAAATTCCTGTTTTCTTTTGCAATTTTATAAGATAATTAAATTTTGAATTGCTATTTTTCATTGCAACATACTACTAAATAATTCGATTTAAAAAAAATTTTAAGTAAAACAAAGATCAATAATATTTTTAATAAAATAAAATAATTTTTAAAAATAACTTTTCGTTTTTCACACTTCTATTACTTACTTATATGAATAATATTTAATTTCTATATTTAATTTATTATTTTTTTAATTGTTAATATACTTAGAACGAGCTTATTATATAAATCTATTTTTAATTATAATTTTCTTATTTAATATATAATTTTTATTTTAATTTTTAATTTTTTACATTTATATTATTCTTATATTCCTTATATACTTAAAATTTAATTATTAAATTATTCACTAATATTTTACACGTTTACGATTTCTTTTATTTTATTTCTTTTATTATAATTTTTAAGTTCTAAGTATCCTGTGTGTGTTTTCTTTTTTTTGTTTTCATTATAAATAAATTTATTTATTATTTATTTATTTTAAACTTACTACATAATACATTTCTTTATTTTTAGTATAAGTAGATTTTAATTTTCACAATTTTTTTTTTGATAAATTTGCAAGATTTTTTTGTTTATTTAATTTTGATTTTATTTTTGTATTTATTTTTTAAAATTTTATTTAATTTAATTTTCAATGTTTATGTTTTTTTTTTCTATTTTTAATTTACAAAACATACAATTAATAATATCACAATTTTTTTTTTTTTATTAATTTTTTTTTTTTTTACTTTTTCATTTGTAGTGTCTTTATTCTTACTTTTGACAATTTGCTGACAATAGAAATGTCAAATTTTTCAAAATAATATTATTTTATTATTAGATCATTTTTTTCTTTTTTTAATTATTTTATAATTAATTATATAATAAATATGGTAGCGTTATACTAATAAACTTTTCAAATTAATATTCAAATTTAAAATGGCGTCACTTGTGTCTTTCATAATTAATTTGAATTTCATGATAATGTTTTATATTAAAAATGTTTATTATCAATATTCAAGTATAAATTAAAATGAATTTAAAAAATTATTATTATTGTATAGAAAAAAATGATCAATAAATCGAATTATTAGAATTTTCCAAGCTATAAAAAATCCAACAAAATAATACATAAAATATATTTTATATACATTTATGTATACATATATAGTTGTACGTCAAAATACAAATATTTTTTTTTTTGAATTTCATAAAAATAAAATTTGTGGGTATAAAAATCTTTTTAATATTGCACGTATTTTTATAAATTATATTTAATTCTTTAATGAAAAATCATCAATCAAAACGTATCTTATAATTTGTTTGACAATTTATTTGTTTGACAATCTTTTAATTATGACATTCCTCATTTTAGTTATACAGTTGATATGCATTTGTTATTATTTTTTTGTTTTAGTTTAGAGAAATTAGGAAACTAGATGTTATGGTGTAATTTTTTGACTTTTCTTAAATCAGTCGATTATTCGACGGGAAATTATTAAAAATTTTTTACATTTTTTATGATCCAAATATGGAAGAGGTTAAAAAGGATGAGTGTAAAAACAAAATTTATAATGATAATATTTAGTACTAAAAGCACCATCTGTATATATAATGCAATATTAATTAAACTATATGTTATTTTCAATTCATAGCTTAAAATAAGACGAAAAGAAAAGCCTGTCAATATAATTTTATGTGTATGTATGTATATGAAAATATTTTTGTAAAAAAATTTTAAATAAAAAATTTTATTTTCAACTCATCTATTTTTGCGATACCTATATAATATATAAAATGTTAATTATTACCCTTTGCACTCAATATAACAAATTTTATAAAATGTGTAACATTTCTGTTTACACTATTTTATTTTTCTGTATTACTAAAATATTTATTATTATTTATTAAATTGATATATTCAATTTTTATTTAATTGAATAAATTTATTTACTCATTGTTATTGCATCGCATATTTACTTACATAATGGTAATTATCTCATTTATAACATGTCAATTACTATTATAATATTTTTTATTATATTATTACTGTTATTATTATTAACATTTAATTATTTTTTCTTAATGTGAAAACAAAAAAAAAACATTTGATTTCCTTTATTAATTCTTTAAATTCAGTCTCCTTTCTGATGAATTTGATTTGATTTTATTGAATTATTCTTATTATTGAATTTTATACTTATCCCTTAATATTATTCTTTTATATTTTAAGTTGGTTTATTTAATTTTTTATACATATATATATATATTTTAATTATAATATTAATCAATATTATAACAGTTTAAAATCACACTTAATTTTATTCTTTTACATATAAAAAAAAAAATGTATCTTTGGATACGGTTACATTATTGAAAGGGATTTAAGGTATGAACTGTTAAAATGCACATTTATGAACGATATATGCTAAACCCAGAAAACAATATTAAATTTTCTTCCGTGTAGCTCATTTTTAAAGCTAGCAAATTATTCAAAAAATTTTTTTTTTTTTAAATTAATTTAAAATTGTCATTAATATTATTGTAAAAATTCATAATGTATATAGTTTTTGTCTTTTTTTTCTGTTTTAAATTAATAAAATTAAAAAATTTTAAATGACTAGATTAAAATTATTCGTAATCATCTTTTAAGCCCCTCATCTGTAATGAGAAAAATATAGAAAAATAAAAAAAAATTGTATAACTAAATATAATGTATAGGTGATTGAAAGAACAAATACAATATTATAATTTGAATTATTCTGGCAAATAATCTGGCATATCAAATCAATCATTAACTATAAGCAAATTAATCTAATTGAAGTTTTTATCGGGATTCATTAAAAATCAAAGTAGAGAACCCGATATTTTTAGCAATGTAAATTCATTACATAATTCTTATATAAGAAACAAATTCTCAGAATAACTTTAACTAATATATTATCTCAAAATATATATATATTTTTTTTGTTTTAGAACACTTACATACTCGAATTTAACAGCACGATTTCTAAAAGCATCTTGCTCCATATCACGTATTTTATGCGTCAACATATGCTGCTTGAGATTACCCTATAATATAAAAATAAAATTTTATTTTTTAATTTCAAAAGTACTATTGATAAGAAACTTAAATATACTAGATAAATATAATATAATAAATATATTATATATAATATATATACATATATTATATATATAATAGCTGCAAGTTTATTATAAAACAACCCAAAATTATTTTATAATCAATAAAAAAAAAAATAATGAAATCTTACTTTAGTTGTAAATCCTCGATCACATATGGAACATTTAAATGGCCTCTCTTTCGTATGACTTCTATAATGAATTTCAAGAGCTGAATGACAAGGGAATGTTTTAAAACAAATGCCGCAGGTAGTGCTACCTCTGACACCTGTTTTAAGTTAAATTAAAAGAAAAAACAAAATAAAGTTAGTATTAAATTTTGTTCAATGAAATGAAAAAATTAATTAATTTTATGTTTAAAAAAATGTTCTATTAATTAAACTATTTACGTACCTGATAAAGCTAATGGATTAAATGGAGCTGCAGGCATTACTGACTGAGCAATAGTATTCATTGCGCTACACATATTTGATGTTTGACTCATTCCTGGTGGAAATAACGGTAGATTTGGAAACATTCCAAATGGTGGTCTTTGTGGCATTATATTATTAACGGGACTTGTAAGGTGTGGTGGCGGTGGTAGCGGTGGTGGTTGACTTGATAAAGGATGCATTTGTTGTTGTGGATTTTGTGGTAAAGGTTGTGGATGTGATTGTGGCTGCTGTTGATGTTGTGGATGCTGTTGTTGTTGGAGTTGCAGTTGTTGCTGTTGAAGTTGTTGGTGTTGTTGATGAAAGTGATGAAAATGCTGTAATTGAAGATCCCGTTGATGTTGTTGTTCTCTAAATAAATCATGATGTGATTGCGGTCGTGAGGGTGGCCTTTGAATACTCTCAGATGACTCTGGTCTATCGATTTTAGAACTTGGAGGTTGAGACGCGATTGGTGATGGTAAGGGTTTTGTTAACAATGGTTGTGTATTGTTTGTAATTGAAGTTGAACGTGGTGTTAAATCTAAAGCACCTTGAGACAAATCTGATGGAACTGGTGAAGATTTATTTAAAACACTTATTGGACTTCCTGGAGCAGAACCATTACTTGCTTCAGATTTATTTGCTAGGCTATTTCCAATTTTTAATTTCTGCTCAAAAAGCATTCCTTTGATTTCTTCTGTTGATTTTGGGCGATCTGAGTCATCCCCATTTGAAATTTGGTCATCGTCTATGTCATCATCGAAATCATCACTGCAGTCCATATTGTCGTCTAGTTCACCTAAAGAAGATTCTGAGCCCATGTGTCCATTTTGTGGTCCCATTCCAAAATTAAACGGATTAAATGGATTAAAAAGTGCACCTGGCATCATAGATGGTGGGAAATCTCTAATTTCAGCAGCAGAAATTTGTTCTGGTGTTAAATCTGTGGGCTCACCAGTGTGTAAACGAATATGCTGTTGTAAGACTAAAGCATTTGAATATTTCTTGTGGCATACAGGACACTGATGGAAATTTCGCATAGGTGGTCGGATTTTGTGCACAGCCATGTGAGTTTTTAGATTTCCTTTAGTAGTAAAAGCTCGTCCACAAATACGACATTTAAATGGACGCTCGCCTGTATGAGTTCTGTAATGCATTTGTAGAGCGCTTTTACAGGACAATACCCTATCGCAAACAACGCATTGATTTGGATCTGTTAGTTTTTTATTTTTCATTAATTCTTTAAGCTTCATAGTTTCTGAGGTGTTGGAGACCTCGATAAAATTTTCCCATGAATTATCATTACTATGCGGACGTGGTAGAAGAGCCATCTCGTGTTTCATGGGACCCAAAAACGGTGGACGTTGTAAGCCAGGAATACCGGCCGGACTTCTTATTGGAGATCCGCGATCAGGTGATCCCCGAAAACTCATTTGCATCCGGTGATGGTGTTCGAAAAGTTCCTCTCGTGTCATGAGTGACGGAGGCAAATGAGCGGATCCCATCGGTAAATCTGCCGCATTATGTGGTGGCATTGCAAGCAAAGGTTGAGTTGGGGATCGCTGTGGCATTGTTGGAACAATCTGTGGTGGTGGTATTTGCGGCTCTCGCGATATAATGGGTGACGATGCACTAGCCGGTCTTTTTGGGGTAGGTACCGGTATAATGTCTTCTTCATCCACATCTTTTTTCTCTTCTTTAATTTTTAAACTGACAGGTTCATCTATACTAGTATCTTTAATGGGCTCGGGGGGTGTTTCTTCTTTAGACTTGTCTGTCGGTGGAGGTGATGCTGACTTTCTTAAATCTTTTGGACTTTCTTCACTATCCTTTCTTAAAATAGGTGTAGCAACAGGTGACTTTTCTGGTGGAGATATTGAAGGCGTAGCTGTATTTGATTGTGAAACTGGAGTTGTTGTTTGAGGGGTAGGCTGCTGCGGTTGTTGCTGTGGTGGTGGTTGAATCCCTGGAGGTGGTGGCATTGGTGGTAATCCGCTAAAGAATGGATTCGCATATGGTCCTAGTGACTTTAAAATATCCAATGGTGGCCTATATATGGAAGGTAAACCTGGGAAACCAGCTCCAGGTGGGAATGACAAAGGTAATGAGACAGGAACATTTGGAATATGTGTTGGCAATTGTGATGGTTGATGAGTTGGAGATGAATCTGGTGACATTTGATCTAACAGTGGCGGATGAAATTTATCTAAATGCTCTGGAATAGGTGTTGAATTCATTGGAACATGAGGAAACTTTTGAGCATGCCTCTGAAAATGAACTTTTAAATTCCCCTTAGTGGTAAAACGGCTGCCACACACATTACATTTAAACGGACGCTCGCCAGTATGAGATCTGATATGAATTTGTAAAGCGGAATCAGAACCAAAAACTTTACCACAATATCGACATCTATGTTTAAAAAATGGTTCATTTCGATTTTTATCACCATTTTTGTCTTTGCCAAAAGCAAATTCATCAGCTAAATTTCCAGATAAAATTCCCTGTGACGCCGAATCAAGTACTTCTTGTGCGCGCTTTTGTAACATCTCCAAAGAATTTGGTTCGTTCAGAGATGGAGGATTATCATGATTTGTTATTATTGCTGAAGCTAAATCAGAACCGTACGGTGGCAATGGTTGATTCTCATCCTGACCGCCATATGGCAGCGGTACATTGTCTTTTGAAAAATACTTATCGTCCAGTCTATACGGTAATCGAATTTCTCCATACTCAAGAGGTTCATCTGGTCTAAATTTCTTAAATTCTATCATACTATCATCATTGTCATCATCGTCATCATCATCGTCCTCCATATTTATTATGTCTTCCTCTCCATCTTTATCTTTAGACTTAAATTGTTCACCATTTTCCAAAATGTGATCATCATTTAAAGTCTTTTTGTTTAAACTATTGGTTTCTCCACGATTTTGAGATCTTCTGTTTGGTAAATCATCATTATTGTCTCGATCTTCATCATCCATTTCACGATCTTCCTCTTGATCTTGTTCACTGGCATTTTGACTCTTATTCATCTGATTGAGAGCCAACTGGGATTGCAATTGCTGAATTAACTGAATTTGAAATAGTTGCTGCTGTTGTAGGTTAAACAGCGTTTGCTGCAAAAATGCTAACTGTTTCATTGCAGCTTCATTAGTAGCTTCATTACCACCATTTGCAAAAGTTTTTGCAGCAAATTGCGCTATCGCCATTTGCATATTTTGTATTGCTTCAAGAGTTACTGGCCCTCCTACAGGAAATTGTGGAAAATCTTGTGGCAATGGCAAATGTCCAGGTAATGGACTTGTACAACTGCTTGTGCTTTGTTGATTTTGTTTTCCATCTGTCGAATTTGTTGTAGAATTTCTCCGTTCTATTGAAAAGTTGTCCCCTAACTTAGGTGGAGAACTTGCGTCATTTTTAGCTAATGCTTTTTTGATTACTATATCTTTATTTTGTGAATCAATTACTTTGTCCACCGACTCTATATTTTCTAGATTATTTATTGTAATTTTACTTTCCTCCTTTAATAACGACTTCTTATTTTCTAATATTTTGTCTTCTGATTGAGTTTCATCGCCATTTGTCTTATTATGTTCTAAGCTTTTCTCAAAATTATTGCTATTTTCATTAAAATTACTAGTCTTAGTTAAATTTATATTTTTACTACTAATGCTACTACCATTATCATTACTTTCGTTATCATTACTATTATCATTATTACCATTATTATTTTCAATATTACTATTATTGTTATTATTATTTACAGATAATTTTTTATCATTTTCAATGAAATTATCACTTTCGTTGACCAAATCCGACTTACTAATTTTCAGTGATTTTTCTACACTGATTTCCGCCGTATTATTATTTTCAATATCAACTATAGGTGAAGTGGTCATAATGGTTTCATCATCATCATCACCCGCCAACAATGAAGTTGGTGGATGATCTGCTACTTTATTTTGATCAGCCAAAGCTGGTGATGGTGTTTTATTATTAATTTTATCTAATTCTCTATATGATGTAGCTAATGTGTCTAACATTTCGGCGGTGTTTATTTGAATCGGACTATTTGTTGCAATTGAATTTTTATTTGGACTTAATGTAATTTCTATATTATTGTTATGATTATGATCGCTTTCTATACTATGATTGTTACAACTATTGTTATTACTATTAATATTTTTATTATGATTATTATTATTTAATGGTGTTGAAATTTTATTAGTTTCTAAAGTTTCTTCTATATCAGAAGTTACTGTTTCTGTTATTTTTGACGTATGGTGGGATTCTAATTGAATTGGACTTGCTGATTTACTGCATTCAATTATTGGTGAATTGGATTTTGATCTACCATTCTCTTCTTGATCGCTTGAAATTTCTGTAAATAAATAAGAAAGAAAAAATTGAACATTATCAAGAAATATAACTAACATTAAAAAACTTTAACAATTTTATCTAATTTTTTAAATATATATTATATTCATAACTATTCTTTAATTTCCTCTCAAAATATATGCATCTTCTTTAGGAAAATGAAGGACAATTTAAGTACATAAAATTAAAATCAGCGAAGCAAAACATTTATTTCGGCGCCTTAAAAATTATTTCAGAATTAGAGATATTTGATACTGTAAAGATTGCACGCTCTAAAGAATTAAGAAAAATAAAGAACTAAAACACTTAAATGCAAGAATATAGAGTAATAAGAGTAAAAAAAATGAATGGATTTTCTTAAAGAAAACAAAAGAAAGAAGACTAAACCTCATGCAAATTTGGATTCGCACGTGACACACTTATTTCCAAATTGCATTTGGCAGGTTTTAATTCGCATTCAAGAAAAGCAAAAGAATTTTTATATTTGTACGCAAAATAATTATCAATTTGAAAATTAATTTAATTTGACCATGGAAAAAGCCCAAAAAATTACGATAAAATAAATAAAATTAAGTTATAACACTTTAGAGTATACGAGGGGGCAATGATTAAGTCAATACTTGAAATAAGCATTAAATTAAAAGTATGTCTTTCATATGCGAGATTTATGTTCGAACTACATTAATACCAAACGTATTGAGTATGACAGGAACGCGTATATACGCATTCATATATAAAAAAATTTTTTGTTTTTTTTCGACAATAATTACAATAGATACGCACGCACCTACTTATTTAAAATAATTAATTTCAATTAAATTGATATGACGTAAATCTTATATACATATTATTATATATTTGCAAGTTTGAGTCCATTTTGAGCACCTGTATACGATAGCTACCTGAATGTATGCGTATGTTACAATTATATTTAAAAAAAAATAAATTTCTTAACGCATACATTTTCGTCACAAATGTACTTATGTTACGGCTGTAACCATATTTAACGTTAATTTTCTTAAAACTCATATACTTAGTATGAGTTAAAACTCATATACTTTTGAATCTATCATCAAAAAAGTCATACATTTTTTAAATATTTATATCAAATACGATTTAGATTACAAAATTTCAAATATAATTAAAATATATGCCTACTATAACATAACATGTTTATATACAATTACATAATATATATATATATATATATATATATATATATATATATATATATATGTATATATATACCTAAACTGTATACAAAATATAATATCTTTCAGATTTATATGTGCATATCATGTAGGTAGAAACAAATAATATACGTAAGATAGGTACATCATACAGTACATTGTATAGAATACAGGTTTATATATCATAATGGTGGTGTTGCCAGAAATGTATATATTTTATAACATTATTCATGTTATTTAAGGTGTAACTATACGTGTAAACTTGTAATTGGTTTAAATTAAGTAGTAATATTCTTGTTGACTATTTAAAATCTTAATATAGGAATAAAATGTTTCTTAGCACCTTTTTGGAAAATTAATAGAAAAAAATTGTGCTCATATATACACACCATATTTATATATTTTTGTTTTGCGTTATGTTATACTATTTAGACTTCAATATGTGTTTCAAAAAAAAAAAAACATAAACAAAGTGAGATAGAGCGAAAGAGATGTTGTTTTTTTTTTTTTTGAAAGAATCAATGATGAAGGAGGTCATCATCAGAGAGGGAAGTTGCTAGAGTTTACTATAATATTATGTATACTTTTGTAATATAATATTATAAATAAAGTTTTTTTCTTTTTAACTATATGATAACACAATGTACACATATAAACTAAATATAGGTATGTTATACATTTAGATATAATGATGTTATACCCAAATGTATAACACAATTTTTTAATTAGATTTAAATTTTTTTTTAATCCAATTAAAAAATAATAACCCGCATTATTTATTTAAAATTATATTTATCAGATATCTGTTATAAATTTATAACAGATATCTGTTATACAATATATAATTTCATATGTATACGTTATACATAATTTCATATGTATACGTAACTATATAATTAATAAATTATGTCTTAATAATAATTTTTTTCTATTTTATTTTAAATATTTTAGTTATTTTTCAAAATTAATGTTATGATTTATAAATATAAATGCCATTTTTGGAAAATTTTTATTTTTTTTATAATGGCAATAAATATTATAAAATACAATAAAGAATTTATATGAGTATAACTTAATCAAATATAACAGTTCCCACACAAAAGATGGCAATAACTTATAGTTCAAAAAGTCCCAAATAATCCAAAATCATACGAGTACTAATTTTTTTTGAAAAGATTTTCTAAGTAAGAAAAACTTAAACGTTTAGCACGAAAGAAATTAAAAACAAGTAAAAACGTTTCAGTCGGTATGAACCGATTGAATTATACCCTGCACCTTTCATTGTTGTATAGCAATTACTCAAACCTGTGAAACCATTCTATAGAAACTTCACGGATATGTCTGACCTATAACTGAACACACAACTACCAAGTTTCATGAATCTGACTTTATTTTTTTTCCAAATATTTAAAATTAGCTTTTGGAGTTGTATGGCAGGTACCTAAACCTGCCAAGCAATTCCACTAAAACTTCGCTAATATATCTGATCTATAATTGGACACACAACTGCCAAGTTTCATGAATCTAACTTTATTACTTTTCCAAATATTTAAAATAAGCTTTTGGACTTGTATGGGAGCCACTCGAACCCGTCAAGCAATTTCACCAAAACTTCAGAAATATCTTTGACCTATAATTGGACACACAACTGCCAAGTTTTATGAATCTTGCTTTATTATTTTTCCAAATATTTAAAATTAGCTTTTGGAGTTGTATGGCAGGTACCCGAACCTGCCAAGCAATTTCACTAAAACTTCGCAAATATATCTGATCTATAATTGGTCACACAACTGCCAAATTTCATGAATCTGACTTGATTATTCTTCCAAATATTTAAAATTAGCTTCTGGAGTTGTATGGCAGGTACCCGAACCTGTCAAGCAATTCCACTAAAACTTCGCAGATATATCTGATCTATAATTGGACACACAACTGCCAAGTTTCATGAATTTGACTTTATTATTTTTCCAAATATTTAAAATTAGCTTTTGGAGTTGTATGGCAGGTACCCGAACCTGTCAAGCAATTCCACTAAAACTGCACAGATATATCTGATCTATAATTGGACACACAACTGCCAAGTTTCATGAATCTAACTTCGTTATTTTTCCAAATATTTAAAATAAGCTTTTGGACTTGTATGGGAGCCACTCGAACCTGTCAAGCAATTTCACCAAAACTTCAGAAATATCTTTGACCTATAATTGGACACACGACTGCCAAGTTTCATGAATCTGACTTTATTATTTTGCCGATTATAAAAAATTTGCTTTTGGAGTTGTATGGCAGCCACCCGAACCGGTACAGCTATCTCATTAGAATTTTTAGAGCATATGTAGAATATAATTGGACACATGTATACAAAATTTTACATTTGTACCTTTATTAGTTTTTGAAATAATTAAAATAAACTCTTTGAGTTGTATGGCAGCTACCCGAACCCGTTGTCCGAATTGGTCCAATAACAATAGGGTTCGTCCTTGGCACAAAAGAAGCAACTTGTGAAAGTTTGGTGTCGATTGCATTATTCGTTTTTGAGTTATCGTGCGATCGGACGGACGGACGGACGGACGGACGGACGGACGGACGGACGGACGGACGGACGGACGGACATGTCTAAATCAACGCAGAATTTTACGCTGAGCAAGAATATATATATATGTCCATACCGCAGGTGACTCCTTCAAGTAGTTACAAACTCCATACCAAAGTTAATATACCCTTCACGAAGTGCAGGGTATAATGATATACGGTTTTAGTATGTATACACTTAATATGCCGGCGCTGTAGTTAAAATTCAAATAAATTTATTACAAAAACAAAATAACAATAAAAAATATGAAGGCGGACAAACTTTAAAATGTAATATTTTTAACTAATTTAATTATTGGAATGTGATTCATTTTCATAAAATAAATATTAATAAACTATATTTTATTTTGTATTAATTAACTTATGATTCATGGATCCCGGAAATTACAAATTTTATAAGAATTGACTTAGAATTATTATTAAGAATTGAACCGTATGCCGTATATAAATCAAATTTATTTAGGGTGTTCGTATCTAAATGCGCTTCTATATACCATTGTGTTAGCGCTCATGTGCTCAAACAATGTTCACAGCTCAACAGGTTCGGAGTTACAGGCGCTTAAACTAAATTTTTACTCTTTGAAATGTTAAGTACTACTCAGTCTCTACGTCGGATAGATTCATTACTAAAACTGATTTGAAAACTTCTGAATGAGGGCTTTGTCTTGAATTTATAATCTGTTCAAATATTTATAATCTGTTCAAATTTCGGAATGATATGACTTTAAATTTCGAAAAATTTGAAATTTTAATTTTTCATTTTTAAAAAATTTTAATTTTCTAGATGACGTAACATTGAACCATTTTAACACAGATTCCAATTTTAACACAGATAACATTCCAATTTTAACACAGATGGCGACCTTATCAACTGATCTTCAATTTAATATATGGTTTATCATGTTACCTGATCTGATTTTCGAATTAGGGAGAAAAATAAAGTGTTTCAAATGTTTTTATATCAAATTTTTTTCTTCAATAACTTACAAAAATGTACACCAACCGTTCAAAATAGTGTCTCTCTTCTGTCACGCAAAATTTTCAACATAAAAGCCAAGTTACCTTTAAATTTTACCCGGAATTTAAAATTAATGATCTGGAGAATATTATAAGGTGCCTTTCATTGACACAGCCGTGTAAGTCAGTTTTGATTTCAATAATCTTTTAATCTCGCTTAATAAATTTTCATATGCGTGGAGTTTTCTCATTATAAACCAGGTAA